TTATACTAATATACAGCATCTTTTATATTCCTTATACATTTGACACTGCATGCTTCAACCTGCATGTAAGTTTCTCTTCCTTAGTAACTCCTTACCCAGAGACGTCTCAATGAAAGCCAAATCATGCACAAAATTTACACCTGAAAAAAAAAAAAAAAAAAAAATATGATAAAATATTTTTAACACCATATTCTCGACAACAGAGTACATCACATACCCCCCCCCCAAAAAAAAAGAGAAATTACAAGAAATACAAATTTCTAACAGAAAAATGCATTTTCAAACAGCTGAAATTGTTTCACAAATTAATAATGCAGATAGCAAATGTAACATATGGCACTATTGCCACTCAGTGCAATCTCTGCATATCCTAAATTCTGCTGGCTGATGTCTTCGTAAGTTCTGAACATTTTTTTGCCTCTAAATTCTGCTGCTCAGTGCCCTCTGCTAAATTATAAAATTTTGCTATGCACTATTATCTAAATTCTAAATATTTTGACTACCACTGGTTGCACAGGCCCTGATCAAAGCAAAGAGGCAAGATGCTACCTGCTATTGATAAACTGCCTTATAAATACCACAGATCTAAATAAATATCAGTTTTATTTCCAAAACAGAATTATCTCACAGCTAAAGCATTGCCTTTGCAGAAAATCTTCTAAATGGAAATAGAATTGCATCCACATTACATGTGCAGAATCCCAATAATTCATTATAAACATAGTTCCAAACCATAGTTAGGCTTAGAACCCACAACAGTATTCTTCTTGGAAGTCTTCCTAAGGAAATGGTAGTATATTCAGGGAACATGTGGGCAAAATCATGACAGTATATCACAAGCCTAATTCTTGACCATACATACTAGAAAGATCACAGAAATTCCTCAGGGGAAGCTAGATTCATATAACAAAATTTCATGCAACATATGGCATATGGGAAAAAGCAAGGACATTATAATCACTAGCATAGTTTATACCCAAATGAGTCGCAGATGGTGCACTATGTGCTCACAGCTGATTATCACTAATGCAGATATATATCTACTAATATTTAGAAGATGATGTCAGATCAGAATTGCATGAGAAATAAATCAAAAAACATCAATCAGATGCAGGAAATTGGTTTCAATCTGAAACAGCAGATGGATAATTGAAAAGGTTAGTAGAATTACCTTTTTTGCAGAAGCAGTATCTTCACAGAGGATATCCTAAGAGAAAACTAATATACACATCACGCTTGATTTATACCATAGTACCACAACATAAGAATAAGTTAGACCCTTTATACTCCAGTCTTTCAACAGAAGTAGTGATTTTGAGATCTTCCTCACAGAAATGGCTGGCATTCATGTTACATAGGAGTAAAACCACAATACTTCACTGCAAGCGCAGTTTACAGCAATAAATGGAAAGGAAAGGTCTTCAGAGATGTCACTGAGAAGCCAAATGGCTAAACGGCAAATTCAAGTTAGAATTTTCAATAATTAATGTTGGCCAGATTAATTTGGAATAATTCTGCCTTCATATGTTTATTCACCTCACCAAACTCTTTATTATTAAACAATATTTACAAAATATATGTAGTTTATAACAAAAATTCTACAAATTCAAATACAGAGATTTCAAAATACAATATTTGTACTGATACAATAAAGCTAAAAAATACTTATTCACACCCAGAAAACTCAAATATACAATTGTTATTCAGAAGAAATGCAGTAAACAAAAAAATAAACAAGAGACTTATAAAAGATAAATACAGTCAAAAGTCGTTAATTCGGACACCCATAATCTATAATCCAGACCTCAAAGCTAAAATCTTTCTGCACATGCGCCGCGTTGATGCATGCGCATAGGCGTTCACGCGTGCGCTCAAGACCTTTACGACTGCGCATATGCATCTGTGCCGTTGTATAAATGTCATAATTCCCAACTAACAACGCTTCGTAGTCAGACCTTGCTATGTCACAAAAACTAGTTTGGGCATTAAGCTTGAAGTTTTCAACTTTGTGCCGACTTGATATAAGAGTCGGCCAATCAGAGCATATACATGAAACTTATTGAGAGAGAGAAAGCTGTAGACACATACATGCATGCACAAATTTAGCTTCTCTAATTGGCTATGGCTTAGACCCTCTCTCGCAGGTGTGAATGGAACTCCCACATTTTATGCCTTATGATTATGCGTCTATGACATTTATACCATCATCTGAACAGAGCCTTAGGATGGCATACTAAGAAGATGCAATGTCTTGTGGGGATAAGCAATTTATACTCCTAAGCCTAAAAAAAAAACTTGGGGGAAAAAAGATCACATGACTTAAATTTGTTGTCTAATTGCTCTAACTTGAGGCACATTACGAGAGGAAAGCAAAGGTAGTAATCAGAATTATTTAAAAAATTTTATCCTTATATTTTTCTTAAAAATTCTGTAAAATAATAAAATTTTTGGCTTTCCTCAAATAAATATATATGGAAAAAATAATAGCCACATAATCACAGATTTCATTTTGTTATATTTTATTAACAAAATTTAAATTATTAAAAATCTCTTTCATGAAGGGAACATAAAACATCATGAAAACAATGAAAAAGAAGCAATATTTAAAAAAGATAGTAGGCTTATTGATGAGGCTCCCATCAAAAGAATCGAACCCCAAAATATTTTCATTTGCTTCAGTGTCCCGTCTGAAAATTTCACTGATTTCAATGAATATATTTTTTAAAAAATCTTTTATTTTCAAGTTCTTTCATGCAAAACGTCCAAATTTGGTACAAATCAAATTCATCCCCCTCTTTTTGATAGCTACAATATTATATTTAACAGTTTTAATAGCTATCAGTATGTAAACAACATAATGTAACACCATAAAAGAAAAACATAAATGATGACATTTTAATTTTGGCATAGAGAAATACATATTTACCCCAAAAGAGAGCTTGTATTTCTACCTTCTACGTCAGAGTCAATAACTGAAATGTCCAGATCAGAACTGAGAAGAAAAGAACCATAATTAGTTTAATTAAGATACAATAACACGCTGACCAAGTATTAATTTAGAAGTCAAGCAACAAAAATCAGCATCATATTTCGAAATATTCACTATTTGAAAATATAACGCTGATTTTGGTTGCTTGACTTCTAAATTAATACATAATTAGTTAACCATAATTAAGTAACTGTAAGAGTTTCAATATCATGCACAGCTAATATCTATTTTGAAATAAACCAACTTACCTCAAGAAAGCCTGGTTTGTCTTAGGAACATTAGCTGTAACTTCTGGCGTAGTAGAAAAGTCAAATTTTTCACTTCCAGACCTAAGAATGAAAGAAATAAACTGCTATAAACATAATTTAAAAAAAAAACATGAATAAATAAATAACACATAACAAATTTAAGCATTAAGCTATGTATGACTACCACCCATCTCAGACAGTGCGACAGATATTGCTGTATACTGTTTCGCCATACCTTGTGTAGCTATTATATCATGCTGTATAACCGCAGTTTAGAAAAATTACAAAATGTGTTATTTATATCTATCTAAAATGGTACATTACTACATGATTTGTAAGAATAAATTAGAGGGCTCTGCGAATGAAATTCCTTCCAATTAAAAAATGTAGGAATAAAGAAAATGCAGGAATTGCAAATGCAGAAATGAAAAAGGGATTATATTTTTTGCACGGAATCCAGATGACATATTTTTCAACATTTTAGAAATTTCAATATTAATTTTAGGGGCCTAAAATATTAAGCCCCTAAAAGCAGAATACAGTTTTTAAATGTTCAGACAATCTTCCTATGAGAAGAATTCCTTTGAGAAGTACACATCTGAACCACAATTAAAAAACATGTACAAGAACAGAGCTAAGGACTTCTGTTTGCAGAAAGTTTGTCACATAACATATGAAAAGTTTCTTATTGGTAGATTTTTTATCAGACAGATATTTTATTGTTATATACAGAGAAAGCATTCACTCCTTTTCTACTAGAGATAATTCAATTTGGACAATGGCAAAAAGGCTAAGCAAGCCTGAGCGTATTGGTCCCATTCTTGGCACTAGTATGGTTTACGCTCAAAATACACGGCAGATATTTTCTAATTACCTGCATCCCAATATCAATTCAATTCAGCTTTTTGGTGGAATTTACCATTTGTGACATATTTTTCAAAAACTACACTTCACAACATGCATACATGACAAATACACAGAACCATAAATAAACAAGCAATAATATATATTTATATATAAATTTTACTAAATGATTATAAAATGTTCCAACGCTAAAAGAAAGTTTTAACATCCAAGTAAATGACATAATAAAAAAAAGCAAGTTGAACAGCGAGCACATGAATGAAATGTGCATACACCTGTAAAAATATACCATAGGTAACTGACAAAGCATTTCGTAGCAAACATATGACTATAAAATTTCCAATAATAGAATGTAATGATGGTGAATTCAATTTAGATCGCAAGAACATGCTCATACTTTTGAAAAGATTCAATTATTTCAGCAATTCCTTGTGAATTGGAATTTACCCTTTCAATATTTCCCAACAATTTAGTGTGAATGGAGGAATAAATTGTTATAACAGAATTGAACAATTATTAGCATCCCCTCATACACACACACAAACATACACATACAAAAAAAAAAAAAAAAAAAAAAAAAAACCTTACTTTGTAAAAAAAAAATCATCCGGGCAATGATTCTTCTTTGACACAGATGCAGTTGTATCAATAATTTCTGACCTTCAATAAAAAAAAAAATACGCATATTTTACTTCGGAATTAACTTACTACGAAATCATAAACACGAGGTAGTCGATATAAAGAATAAAATATTTCTCACCTTTCGAAAACATCCGCTTGTTCGGAATCTTCCACATCTCGGGAATTTAATTTCATATTTTTTTCTTGAGCTTGACGCTTTCGCTGAATTCTGGATCTCTTATTAACACCAGGATGTTTTTTCGGTCGTCCTTGATATTTTCGCATATTTTTGCTAACTGACCACAGTACAAATAAATGTAAACAAACCGAGTGCGGAATAGCAATGCAATAGGGTTGCCGTAAACGTCATTCCGCTGACAGCTGACACTGTTTAGTGAAAACTGTGTATAAAGGAATATATGAAACGCTTCTAAATATTATTTAGAAAAAAATATGATTTATAACTGATATCAAAATCAATTACTTCGTGAATTTTTGCAGAAATAAGATTACAATGCTAAATTTTAACTCGTAGCGCCATCTATTGATGGCTTTCCAAACTACACATTAAAATTACGTATTTCAAACTAATTTTTTTAAAATATAATATTTAAGTAAATTTCATTCCAAACCTGATTCTAACATTTTGATTCCAAAATTGACCTATTGCTTTATATTTCTGCCAAATTTCACGCAACATAGTTTCTTAATTAGCGATTCTGCGTGTAAACAAATTTTTAGTATTGTAATGCTGCTGTAGTAGACCACCTTAAGAAAAGAAATTCCTATACTGCTTTTCTATTACTTGTATAGTGAAAGATTTGAAAAAAAATAGCTTCATATGAAAAAGTTTTTTTCCGATGAACGAATACAGCTGAAACATGTTTCTGTCTTCAAGTATATCCACAAAACATGAAATAGTATTGTACTCTTTTGTATTCTATTGCATTTTTATATTACTTCGTGGTAAATTTTTTTATTCTTAAATTTCTCTCTCTCTCTTCTTATAATACACAACAAGTACTCTTTCAAATATGGCTGACCTATGAACCTAAATTTTTATACTATAAAATTTTATATAAAAATTAGCCGTAATCATTAGACACAGCTTTGTGTATATTATATTCTTGAATACATGCCTGCAATTAATACTAAGAATACTATTGATAAAATTCGTGATATAATTAATAATGAAAATACTGTTTAAGCTAAAAACCGATTTGAATCTTTTTTTCATTATAGGGTAACATGAGCCAAACAACTTTCGTTAGAAATATACAATTATGCTAACTTGACACATCAGATAGAAAATATTTTATCGTCATCATCGGCTATGATAAAAGATTTATACGCTTAAGATTTTGGATTATGATAAAGCACACAGGACCTATTTGTCTAAGGGAAAGGAAGTCTTCAGAGTAGATTTTTTTTTTTTTTTTTTTTTTTGTGGGAAACAAACTGTTAATTCACAATCAATTGTACTTATGAAAAACCCCTAAGCCCCCCATGCAGCCGCTAGAATTTACCGGTGCTCAGCTATCTTACCGCTTGGAGACTAGTTGGCTTTCTGAACTTACGCAATATCTATCTGAATTTGAATATTTGCATAAAAAACGAGCAAAATAAAATGACACATTGTAAATAGTACATTTTACTGAAATCAAACTTTCTTTGAAAAAGGAAAATTAATTGTAAGGAATAAGATGGATGCATTTAATTAAACGGCGGGCAATAACAGCGCTGATCATATGTTTCGTATAGGAAATCATTTTCTTCGTGTTATCGTATAACGGAAAATATCCACAGATTATATTTACAGTTTTTAAGAAGTCATGGGTTATCTGCTTTAAGAGAACACCTTCGTGGGCAATTTTCTAAATAAAATTGGCTTGAATTCACGTTACGCATCGAGAAAATCATAAATACCACAAGCAGCTAAACTGTTCGGTTGCCAACAACAAAATACCAACATCCAGCAATCTTATTAACTCAACTATAGTGAACTTAAACTAATGTTTGTATATTATTAGTAGTATTAAAACTAACGAAAATATTTATTCTAATAAAAATTTTTGTTTTGAATATCCTCCCTAGTAAGGTATTTCCTTTGGTTGGAGATTTGTCAACAATAAATGCTATGTTTAAACAAGACATTATTTAGAGCATAATGCTTCAAAAATGTATGCTGGGATCCCTAGAAAAAAAAAATATCGCCAGAAAATATATCTCCGAAAAAATATTTAATTATTCATATTCTTATGATTAATTACTTTAAATAATTAATAACTTTTATAATTATTAAATGAAATGCTTATGTATACTTTACCAAATGTACAGCAACACTCTTTCTTTACAAAAATACCATATTGAATAAATTATATTGTAAGCTAATGAGTAACAACATTGCTTTGTTTAATTAAGATACAATAACAAGCCGAACAAACATTAAATTGGAAGTCAAACAACAAAAATCAGCGTTATATTTTCAAATTTTCATTATATCTTATGTTGCATAATCGAGAAAATATTGTTAAGAATTTTATTATTACTATTTTTATTATTGTCTATTTTTCAAAAGTGTGTTTTTGTTTTATTATTGTGTGAAGTTGTAACTATATGTCTTTTCTTGTGTGGCAACAACGCTTCTGTAATTCTTCAATTTGAACTTTTGGATGTGTGCCAAGTTTGATGGCGTAATGCTCTGGTGAGAGCGTCGATTGATTGTGTAGATGAAACATGTTGTTTCAGAACGTTATTTCTTTAAAATATGTAAAATAAATGTTTTGTTTTCTAAGCTCGGATTATGCAAACGTTATTTAGTTTCAACATCTTATCTCGTTCATTTGCACTTTTGAGCTGAAGATGATGGTTCGGTAAAACCATCGAAACTAGTCCTGTGAAAATTTGAAAATATAACGCTGATTTTTGTTCTTTGACTTCCAAATTAATTGCTTTGTTTGTTATTAATATGTCTCATCCTTCCTATTTCAGATAAAATTTACTAGTGTTTCTTGGACAGGAAAGCAAGAATTTTTAATTTGAATCCATAAATTTATGATACACTGAAAACGGTTTCAATGTTATAATTCCCTTTCTGAATATCTTGAATGTATATGAAAAAAGTAAAATGCAAATTTAATATTAATATTCACCACCCTTAAAAACACCCAAATATTTCGTTTATTACTCTCTTAAAACTACGTAATAATTAAGGAAAAAAGAAATTATTTAAAATAATTATTAGTTGCCTGCAGTTGAAGAATATAGGAAAATGCTGAGAAGGTTTTAAAGATTTTTAATTAATGACAAAAATACAGAAAATCGGAAATAATACGAAATGTTTCAGCAATATCTCAGAAGGAATGAAAATTGCACCAGATATTTGTCAGAATATAATTTTAGTGATAGCAGTTTAATCAGTCTGCATTGAAATTCCGGTGATAATCAGTGACATACAGATTTAGGTTACTTAGGTTAAAAATGCGTAATAATTTAAAATTTAACCGGGTAAATTTTAAAACCAATTTATTTGAAAACTATCAGCTTCGCTGCGAGCCTTCGTCTGGC